GAATTTCTCGGTGCAGCCAGGCGGCAGAGGGATTGCAGTTCAGTGGCCTCAGAATTCCATCTTTATTCTTTGCATATGATGTGGTACTTTTGGAATCATTGTGCCGTTATCTTCAGCTCTCATCGGTGCGATTTGCAGCCGAGTGCGAACCAGCTGTAATGAAAATCAGCACTTCCAAATCTGAGGCCATTGTCCTTTGTCAGAAAAGGGTTAATTGCTCTCTTTGGGTCGATGGTGAGCTTCTGCCTCAAGTGGGGGAGTTCAAGTATCTTGGGGTTTTGTTCATGTGTGAGGGAAGAATGGAGCATGAGATTGACAGATGGATTGGTGCAGCATCTGCAGTATTGCAGACTCTGTACCAATCTATTGTGGTGAAGAGGGAGCTGAGCGGTAAGGCAAAGCTCTCTGTTTACCGGTCGGTCAACGTTCCTTCCCTCACCTCTGGTCATGAACTCTGGGTAGTGACGGAAAGAATGAGATCATGGATACAGACGGTTGAAATGAGTTTCCTACTCAGGGTAGCTGGACTCTCCCTTAGAGATAGGGTGAGAAGTTCAGTCATCCAGGAAAGACTTGGAGTAGAACCGCTGCTCCTCCACATAGAGAGGATCTAATTGAGGTGGTTCGGGCATCTAGTAAGAATGCTTCTTGGGCGCCTCCCTAGCGAGGTGCTTCGGGCATGTCCGACTGGGAGGAGACCCCGTGGAAGACCCAGGACACAATGGAGAGACTATGTCTCTCGGTTGGCCTGAGAACGCCTCGTAGTTATCCCAGAAGAACTGGAAAAGGAGGCTCTGGGAAAAGATGTCTGGACCTCCCTGCTCAAGCTGATGCTTCTGCAACCCGACTTCGGATCAAGCGGAAGATGTGCGAGGGGCGGGGTACACCCTGGACGGGTCGCAAGTCCATCACAGGGACACATAGAGACAAACGAGACAAACAAACATTCACTCTCTCACTCACACCTAGGGACAATTTAGAGTTACCAATCAGCCTAACATGCATGTTTTTGGACTGTGGGAGGAAACCGGAGTACCCGGAGAAAACCCACGCATGCACGGAGAGAACATGCAAACTCCACCCAGAAAGGCCCCTGGACCGAGGTTTGAACCAAGGACCTGCTCGCTGAGAGGCAGCAGCTCTACCAGTTGTGCCACCGTGCTGCCCCCTTCTTGACAATATCTTGTGATTTTTTTCCTGCAATAAATTCTGCTGCAAACCCATTTTAATATGTATTCATGCATAACACAGAAGAGCACAGTGGAAAAAAAGAGACTCCTGTTTCTTTATGCCTTTTGCTGTCAATGAAGATTTTTCTTGCATCAGCTTTGAGTCTGCAGGTTTGTTTGTTTGTTTGTTTGTTGTAGATTCAGTTTATATGTGATGCAACAGTACAGCAAGTCTTTATTTGTTTGTTCCTTCTGTAAAAAATGTAATCTTTGGGAGTTTTACAAGAGTCAAATCAAGCAAGAGATATGACCAGTTTTCTTTTTTTTAATTTTTTTTTTTATCTTTTACAACTCTAGAGCTAAATTTTGATTTAAAAATATAACGTTACAAGCCATCAAAAAAGTGATAATAAATTCAAAGAAAATAAAAATCAATAAAACATACTTTCGAGGTTTTGTCCTACATTCCTCACCTAAACACAAATAAATTCAACAATAACAAAAAAATAAAAATCTGCGCTTTTAATAAAAAGCAGAAAATATGAAATCCACTTCACTGTAAATCCAACTATCTTTACCTGCTTCTTCTTTTTTGGTTTGCGGAGGTCACTGGTGCCCATTTCCAGCAATCACTATGTGAGAGGCGGTGGACACTCTGGACCGGTCTCCAGTCCATCACAGGGACACATAGAGACAAATGAGACAAACAACTATTCACTCTCTCACTCACACCTAGGAACAATTTCGAGTTACCAATCAGCCTAACATGCATGTTTTTGGTCTGTGGGAAGAAACCGGAGAAAACCCACACATGCACGGAGATAACATGCAAACTCCATCCAGAAAGGCTCCCGGACCAGGATTTGTACCAGGATAACCTGCTAGCTGAGAGGCAGTAATACATTTTTGTATTTCCTGTTTGAGTAATCATCACAGAAGTGGAACCAGTGTCACACGCTAGCCAAAAAAATCTTCACACTGTCTCATTAATAGAGACGGTGCTTGACAGTGGGTCGTCAACCTCCATTGATCAAGTCCACCGATGGTGTCAGGTACTGTTTATTTCAAGAAACAGCAACCACTCTGGATTTTTCAATCATAGCTTACTTTAAAGCTTTTTTTTTGTTGTTGTTTGTTTGTTTTAAAAGAAAGTATTGCACTTTTTAACAAACTTACAAATTGCTTAGCAAATAAAAAGTTATTTTGGTCACCAAGAAAATGCAAAAAAAAGCTTAAATATATATTTTAGGATCAAACTAGTTTTCACAGGGGTAACATTTTATTATAGAAATATTTGTTTTCCTTAGTTCTATGGGCAGAACATTCCAGTAAACACGAGGCTCAAACAGATCACCCCGAGCTTCTTTTGTTACAAACAAGAACCTGAGAAGAGTCAGCCGGGTATGGAAATTATCATTTGAGGCTTTAAAAGTGAAATAATTATTAACAACAAAATAAACTCCAAATAGGCCAGACTATTTGTCAGGGATTGGGAAAAGTTATCTCTTAACTCAGACATGTGCAGTTAACATTCTTAGCCATAGTGGTTAAAAAGCATCCGTAACCTTGACCAAAAGTCCCCTAACATTGTGATGTTGTTTAGTCCCCATGAGGAAATTAGCTCAAACATTTTGAACCAACTGTATGCAACAAAACAACAACAACAACAGAGTAGCTAATAGCATTTTTTAACTTTTTGTTTTTCAAAGTTGTAAAGCATCCTTTTAAATACATTACAGTATTAATGCAATTTTTGTAAGCAAAAACGGACTTAACATAATGGATTACGTTTGAAGCATATCCACTTTTCTTTTTCTTTTCCAATTATTGCTAATGCTATGTGAGTGACTCTCAAGCCTGAAACCAACAAGATTGAAAAAAAAAATAAAAAAAAAAATCAGTGGGACCAAACAGAATGAAATTTATCACCACTGACAAAAGCATCGGCCATTTAGAGTTAAATGTCAAGAACAAAAGCAAAATTGACTAGCTGCTGTGAGCAGTAGGTTATTTAGTTTCATTCAGTTGAGTGTCATTTGCATAAAATGAGAACTGACATAATGGTCCTGAAAAAGCTGGCCAATAGAAAGCATAAAAGGAGAATAAATGGGGTACAATGACTCACCCATGAGGTGCACCACAACCTAACAGCACCTGTGTGATGTTGTATTAACCATATCAACTGAAAAGGTTATGTAGTCTGTATATACGACAAAGTACCATGCTGCATTAATTATAAATAAATCTACTTTCACTGCTGTCTCATTCTCACAACTATCCCACAACGTGGTTACCAGAACAGGCACAATAATAAGAGTTTAACTGCTATTAAAAAAATGTAATGACAAAGAAATGTTAATTTAATACCTAATAAATATTGTAATTTCTTCACACCATTGATTTATACCAGGCTTTATTTTATTTATGTAGATAATATAAATTCCACAATTTTTGTTTTGAATACTGACATTAGATCTACCTAACGTATTCTATAACATACGTTGCTGTTACGTTTGGTTCTTACTTACCACGGTTGACACAGTTTATCGCTGGTTTATAAACATATACAGCATATTATCATAGTAAAAGTACAAACAGGAAAACTATTGAATGTAAAACATTCAGTGCTGGCAGAAGACACCGATGAATGCATGTCTAATGAACATGAAAAATGAGCAGTAGATGTTTTATTATAACTTGGAACAATTTATTGTGTGCACTGTCTTATCTGTTTTTCACTCAACTAAAGTGCTGCAAATTTCTTGTAAAAAATATGTATGTACACTGATTTATTTAGGTGGGGAACTTCCATATACGAATAATAAAATTTAAATAAATAAATACATAAAAAAACAGAAAGGTTTAGTGGTTTCTTGCTAACTGAGGAGTCATTACTGCATAGGTGCCAATACTCTTAATAATCTGCAAAGTACAAAATATGAAGATTTGTTTTTGTAATGGCAAATGGTAAATGGACTGTACTTGTATAGCACCTTTCTATCTTATCAAGACAATCAAAGCTTTTTACAACTAAAATCTGTGTCCTCATTTACCCTTTCACACAACACTCTATATCTATACAAAGAATAATCAGAGCTTTATTACATTCATACACCGATGGGACACACATCGGAGGCAATGAGGGATTCAGTGTCTTGCAGGGACACTTCAGGATATGACTGCTGGTGGAATCGAACCCCCAACTCTTGCATTGGAGGACGACTGCTCTAACCACTCAGCCACAGCTGCCCCAACCCTTTAACTTTATGACTATCGTAATTGCCGGTGTACATCAATAAGTTGAAAATATAAGTAATAGATAGATGAGTGTAGAATAGGACTAAAACATTTATGACTTTTTTTTTTTTTACCTGTAGTTGCTTGTAGTTGAAAATATGTTTCATTACCATTAATTTTTTTTGTTTCTTTGTTTTGTAGATCAGTGGTAACAAGAAACGATGCACTGTAATTGCAAATACGTGTTACAATTGTCCACATAAAAAAATAAATAAATAAACTTATTTTTACACAAAATAAGCTTGATAGACATTTCAGCTGACGAAAGATTACTATTCTCGGTCTCTAAGATGTTGCTGGAGGGCGGCAGTATCTTCACTGTAATAAGGTTGCAGGTTCACCTCCTGGCTTTTATGTGTGGAGTTTACATGTTCTCCCCATTTGTGTGTTTTTTCTCCGGGTTCCTCCCACAGATCATCTCTGATAGGTTATGTGGTAACTAAAATGAAAAAAAAAAAGTTCTTAGGTGTGAATGAGAGAGTGAATGGTCGTCTCGTTTGTCTCTATGTGTCCCTGTGATGGACTGGAGACCAGTCCAGGGTGTCCCCTGTGGGCACAGTGACGGCTGGAGATAGGCACCAGCTCCCCCTCCACTCTGAAAGGAAGAAGCAGGTAAGGGAAATGGATGGATGAATGACAATGGACCTTAAACATCAAAGAAAAAGCAGAGCAAACTATATAATATAAATAAAGTAATTATTTTTCCTCAGCGTTGTACAATCTGCAGGTTTTTGTTGCCATCTTTGCTGAAAACATTTTGTTTTGCTGTTGGTCTTCAGGTTGGTTGGTGGGAAAATGGCCGTCTACGCCTCCGTTACCATCCGTGGTCGCGTTACGGCTTTTTCCTGAAGCCCCTGGATGATTCCCAACATCTCCGAGTGGTCACCCTGGAGGAAAGGCCCTTTGTTATTGTGGAGCCTGCTGATCCAGGGACCGGCTCGTGCATCCGGGACTCGGTACCCTGCCGCATGCCCCCTAACTCCAGGTAGTGCAGTAAAAATGCTGTAGATGGAAATTAGATCTCACACACTTAAATAATGATCTTCTTTTATTGCACAAAATTGTTTTTTTTTTCCCCTTTTATTTTACTGTTGAGCTGGGGCAGTAAAAATTATAGTTCAGAGTTTTATACCTTCTTAAAATTGTAGGTAATATTTTAATAAAAGATTTAGGTTTAGTATTAAAGTCATTTCTAACTGTTAAAATGATTTCCCCTTACTAAAGTCAATGTACAAAGTTCTATTAAAAGTTTTAAAATGAGGTCAGAATATTTTCTAAAGTCAGAAAGTCTCACTTTGTCATTCCTTATGCAAATAAAACACATTTCCTGCACAGCTTGATTAAAATAATACATTTATAAAAGGTGCAGTGCGTTATTAGACCTTAAGATTCTACATCTCGTTTTAAAGGGAGGTGTGGACCTGCAGGAAGTCCAAACATGCTCGTTTTTTAGGCCGTGGGAGGAAACGCACACAAGGAGAACATGCAAACTGCACACAGAAAGAAACCAGGCTGAACCTGGGGCTTGAACCTCGAACCTTCTTGCTGTGAAGTGACAGTGCTAACCACTAAACCAATGTGCTGCCCAAATGCAGTGAAATAAATCAATTAAAAATAATGTTTTCTGTGATGTCAACACATAAACATTGCCAAACAGCTTAATTGCCCCATAGAGGACATTAATTAGCCTTTTTTTGCATTTTTATGTTCATTTCAAATACAGGATAAACACATACGTTTGAGATCAAGGTGTTGTTTAAGCTGTTCATTAAAATGACAAGACTAATTTAGAATCCCACAGCAAACTGGGGTTAATTGCCTTTCATTCAATGCAGAGAATAAACAAGGACAGCATGTGCAGACCATCGGAGGAATTTTAATTAGTGTTAAAAACCCACACAACATCTCTGTCAGTGGAAACATGATGCGCAAGAAGAATGTGTAAATCATTCAGAAACATTTAGAGCACAGGTCAGACACTGATTGATCAACCTAAATGGTATTAACCAAGTTATATATGCTATAATCCAAATGTATTATACAGTAATACTTTTCTTGTATTTTATGTATACATGTTTTAGTCAAATCATGTAAGACCGACACTAAGTGGGTCCTATGATGCTTTTTCCATTAATTTAATGACAGGGACTACAAAATGATTATTTTTGTAGCAACACTTTCATTTAATTTTGTTCCCACAATGACTGTGTCTGTCCTATAAAGTTTTATAAAATTAATTATCCTAGTTTAATGAACCTGATTTTTTTGTTTTTTTAACCACCTCAGCTAATGTTGCAGTTTAAAGGCAAAATGTGGTATTTTATTTTATTTTATGTTCTCTTGTAATCACTGAGCTCATGGATTGTTTATTCAAAGTCATTAGCATCAATTGCTAATATGGGTCTAGGTACGGTGGCCCTAAGGTGTAAATGGATAACAGTATGTGCAATTAAAATTATGTCAACACTTTAAAGGCAATAAATCAACCTATATATATATATATATA